TAGGCAGATGCTCTTCCACTTGAGTCAGTCCACCAGCCCTGCAGATTATATTTTGAGAGAAGGTTCTTAATCCACATTACTTAGGAAAGAACTGATTTAGACAGGTACAGGTATTGCTTACTGTGTCAGGATTTATGAACTATTAAATTGTTAGTGACTATAATTCTAAAATCATAAGCTGTAATGGATTTTAAGAGCCAGTATTGTTCATCTTTTTAACTTTTAGGTGGTTATATTTAAGTATTCAATACAGGTAGATTTTTAATCTTTATCTTCCTTAGCTATCCTACTCTATTATTTCACCTGTCATGGTCCTACAGTTTGCCCAGTTAGAATCTTTTCTGTTGAAATTTAAGCCTGTTTCTCCTGTTGGAGTTCTGTTGCCATAGTGATAAAATGTTCAGCAATCTGAAATTACTTAGAGACAACAATGAAATTGACACAGCGTTTTTATTGTTCGGCTTTTTGAAAAATACATAAACAATTTTGATTCCTTAACTTTTCCTTAATATAAATCATTTCCTATACCAGTAGTCACTTTGACAATTTATCTTTGATTCCTCTTCAGTTTCTCTAGATCATTTATAATGTATAATCAACCGCAACTTATTTTAAAAGACACAGTAACCATTATGAAATCTTACAGAAAGAGCAAGTCACATGATTTGCATGAATCTTTTTTGAGTAGTCTACAATTATGGCATTTTTTCCATGGCATTTCTGATTTACTGATTTATGAATCCAGCTATATTAGTCAGGTCTATTTTTGTCATTCACTAAAATAATAATTGGAACTTCTCTTATTTAGAGACTGTGATAGGTCAGAGACTATCTGTGGAAGAAAGGTCTTAGTAAAATGAAAAGTGTAAACTAGAAAAAGCAGAAAGTATCTTTATTTAAAACAATATAGTAGGTATTAATCTGCTGGATATACATCTCTACTTTGGAGGTGCTTTAAATTATTTATTATCTGCTAGTTTTTTCTTTTCCTTAAAGTAGTTTCTTCACCACTAGCCTGTCAAAGTGCCACCAGTAAGGAGATTATTTTTATAAAAGCATAACTATTTAAATCTAAATTTAAATTAGTTAAAATTTTAAGAAATTAAAAATTCAGTCCCTTAATCATACTAACCACATTTCAAATGCTCAATAGCAACATATAGCTAGTGTCAATCATATTAAACTACAGATTACAGAACATTTTTATCTTCAGAGAGCTCTGTCATGCAGCATAGCTGGACTGTTCAGGGGAGGAATTCTCTTTGTTATTTCCCAATGTGTCCACAACACTTGGAGCAGGACCAGTGTTTACAGGCACTCAGCAAAATACCTGCTCAATGTTGAAATAGCACATATGAGCTGTGTGCCATAGGAAATCTACACTGCAGGTGTCAGAGTTGGCTAACCTATACTTTGAAAGGAACTTGGAACAAGTCCATCTGAATATTATTCCAAAATTCTCATTTAAACTTTCCATAGCTATATTCTCTGGTATACCCTGACCTTCCATTTTATCTTTTATTTCTACTTCCACAGTTACTTTTATTATTTCTTAACTTACTCATGATTTCTCCTTATCACCTACTCATTAAAGCTCCCCTCCCCTTCCTGTTCTCCCGCTCTCTCCCTCTTTCTCTCTAGATGCTGCGAATCAAACCCAAGGCCTTGTACATGATGATAGGCAGGCATTCCATCACCACTGAGCTACACCCCCAGAAAAGATCTCCTTTTAACAACAATCTCTACTGTTGTAGCCTTCAGAATCTCTGTTCCTATTTTATTACCAAGAAATGTTTTGCAGTTCCACATTTAAAAAAAATTCTGTGTGAAACCTGACTTTTCTGTTTTCCTATAACCTAGCAAAATTATTTTTCCTCTTTTCCTGCGATAAGAGCCCAAAAAGAAAATCAGCATTTCTAAATTCTACTCTTGCTTTCTGACTATTGTTTCACCAACTTTGGCAAAAATTATTTTTTTCCTTTGGTAGTTACTGCATCCAGTTTATCACTATCTCTTTTTTTTCAGTTGTTGATTCATAGATTCCTAAGCAGTCACTGAGGTCTTTGATATCCAGTTGAACTTTTCTCAATTTTTTATCCTGTGTCATTACTCTTAGGAACCACCCATCCATATTGTTGAATTGTTCGATGCTTTTAGCCTTACACTTAATCATATCTTCACTTTGGCATTCTTTATCTTTCTTCTACTTTATTATCCCATACACCTAGCCACATCCAGGACCTTGTCATCTCCTGGAAGGATTTATTTCTAAATAAATATCTTCTCTTTCTCTTAGCCACTCTGCTCTCACTGAAGATACTAAACCTGGTAGTTCTTACATTTCTTTGCCACCTTTTTAGCTTAGAAACTTTGCTGCTCAGCTGTGTTCTCACTTGTACGTAAGCAGACACTATTGGATATGAATTCTTTTATCCTCTTGGTGTCTAAGAATGAATTTCTCTATTTTCATCCTATTTTATTCTTACCTCCCTTTGTATTATAGTGAAAATATTCTTTCCTTCTTCTAAAATGAACAATGCTGTTAATTCTGTTTAATTCTCTTTGTTTCTTCTAACAAATTGTTTCATCATTCACACTTTTCTTCACTTACAGTGTATCTTTAATTTCTCTTATCTCAGACCTCTATTTTGCCTTCAGGGTCTAGTTCAAATTTCATCTCTTTAACATAGTCTTTAAAACTGATCCACTAATGAAAATGAATTGCGTTTTTTTCTGCACATCATACTACTATTATGAGGCTTATTTTCTTTGACTTGTTTTGTTGTGATATACCCTAAGTATCTTTTGAAAGAATGTCTACTTTCTTGAGCTCTTGATTCTAGGATTTAAAACCATTGGTGTTGTGTTGTTCCTAAAATGTGTGTGTGTGTGTGTGTGTGTGTGTGTGTATGTTTTATTTATGTTAAAGTCCATTATCTCTTAAAATCTTGCATGTAATGATCTTAAATCATGGACTTATTCTTCTGAAAATACCTCATACCAGTTTTAGATTCTAACCCAGTATTGCTTCTGCAAAGTGAACTAAAGAAGGGTCTATTGTATATAGCATCTCCTGTAATCTACCAAATGGTATTCTTATTCTTTTCATGTTTTATGTTTCATGTTTTTGGATACTCTTTATCATTGGTTTCTTTGACTTCAACTTCTGTATGTAGGGCACTGTTGTTTGTCTTTGTATCTATGTAATTTAGGTATAAAGCATTTAGGCCTTTACCTCACAGATTTTGTTTCTTATTGATTGCCCAAGTATATCTGAATTCTTGACCTTAACCAGGATATACTGAACGTCAAAGTTTTCTAAGGCTAACCCTAGACCAGGACCCATAGTATTTTAAACGCCTGTAGAAAGAAACTCTTATATACTCAGTAACAAAAACACCAGCTTAATAACATCCATAAACATTTAGTGGAAGAAATGCACAAAAAGCTTGAGAAAGTAATAATGTAGGTAGAATTATGAACACATGACTGGACCTTACAAAGGAACAAGAGGGGAAGCAGGGCTGATCCTCTGTCTTTACATCATTGTTTCTGGCATTTATAGGTAAACATCTCAGAAGCAATGGATCATATCTTCAGGTTTCTTCCATGTCATAAAATGTGTTCATCTTACACACTTAATGTCTAACTCAGGATTTTGGTTGGTTCAGTCTTATCAACAAATACTGAAATCTTTTTGTATTTATAATTGTAGGCTCTTGAGAATAAACATATTCTAATTGGGAAGATAAAATATGCTACTACTGGCAAGCTATAATAGCAAGTGTCAAATGAATTGCATCTGAGATAAGAGTTTGAAGAATTTTAAAAGAAGGAGGTTGAAGGGCCCATGCTATCATAAAGTGTTCTTATGAGATTAGTCATTTGGTCACTAGACCTGCTCTGCATTTTAAGGCTGTGGCTGAGCATGTATCATTCCTTCAGAAGAGAATGCAAATTGTATATTCAAATGTTCAATTAGCACATGGATAAAAAGTTAATGTGGTACTTTATAGGGCAGGATATGGTGATGCATGCCCGTATTCCTAGCTACTAAGGAAGTGGAGATAGGAGGATCTCAGCTTGGGACCAGCTGGGAAAAAAATAGTTAGTGAGAACCATTTCAACAAAACAGCTGGGTGTGGTTTATGCCTTATCATTCCAGCTTTGTGGGAGATATATGGGGAGGATCAAGTCCATGGCAGGCCTGGGCTAAAACTGTGATCCCCTACTTTAAAAATAATTGGAATATGTCTCAAGTAGTAAAGCACCTGCCTAGCAAAAGTGAGACCTGAGTTCAAACTCTATTACCGCACCCCCCAAATTTTTTACATAGTACAGTGTGGCACTTTGCATTATTTTCTTTTAAAATTTTAACCATATTGAGTGAAAACAAAGTAGCGTTGTGTCTGATAGCATTTTACAAGTTGTAAAATTTGTAAGATATATAGGCTCAGGTGGTTTCTCCTAAATTGAACTACTTTCTGACGCCTTAACAGTACATTATTCTTGTTGGGCGTGGTGGTATACACCTGTAATCCTATAGCACTTGGGAGGTGGAGGCAGGAGGATTCCAAGTTCAATGCCAGCCTGGGCTGCATAGTGAGACCCTATCTCAAAAAAACAAAAAAATAGACAAAACCAAACAGTACATTCTATACTTTCCCACTGAAGGTCAGTCGGTTCATGCTGTTCCCTACATTTATTAAAATTTTACTTATCAAATTTTTGTTGCTACGTAGTAGTCTCTGGTACCCCTGGATAGAATTGACATTTCATCCTTTGTATACTCACAGTTATCTGTTACAAAAGAAGTAATTGGTGGTGTTTTAGTTACATGTGACTGCAACTCAGATGCCTAAAGTGTAAATCTTTATAATTGTACCTACCACTTTGCATTGTACAGTGACTGGTGTCAAAAAGGTTTTCAGTAGAATGACTGTCTAATTCAGAAATGAACTGTGGGTCTGTAATGTCTTTTGTTGGCTTGTGGTTCTTAGGTTAAAACTTCAACAACAAATTGTAAATAGTGAAAATGCAGAGAAAGAAAAAAATGAAAATTCTGATCTGAAGCAGGTAAGACTAGTAAACATTTTGCTTTTTTTTTTAAATGCTTATTTACATTTGTGTTTTGTGTAGTTATTGGAATGTCTCATCAGATTCTGGTAACTTAATCACCACAGTTAATAACATAATGAGGAGGCTGATAGGTAAAGATAAAATGTTTCAACTTCTTTGCTATAATATAGTAAACTTGTTTAGCTAACTGCTGTTTATATTAATATATTTATATTCTGTAGTCCATGACAAATTTGATAATAATTATAGTTAAAAGGACAGTATTTTGATATTCTGAATTTTAAATTTAAATTTTAATCAGTTTGTAAATTGATTAAATGTCCATGTTTTATTGAGTAAATTGGCTTATGACTTTATAAAATCTAATAGTTATGCTTGTGGAAAGAAGTTTTTATTTTAATTAAAGAAAAAATTTATCTAAGGTCAGGCACAGTACAGAGATTTTTCTTTTCTGAACTTTTTTGTTTAAAAGTTTTTCCTGTGGATTATGAAGTAGTAAGGATTCCATTTTTAGGATTTTAGGTTGCATGTCAGCTGGTGCTGCTTTGCATGTGGAGTTCTGGTTTCTAAGTATGAGCTAGGAGGGCAGAATGTTTGGGTCTCTGAGAGGAATTATCTAGTATGTTTGGCATTGGAGTTTCTGTCATCCTGTGGGTACAGAGAGGCATTAAACTCTTTGAAGACTGCTTACTCAGGAAACTATAATACAAATTTAATGCTTGCTCTTCCAGTTTAAGATGAAGAATAGTTCTACATGAAGAAATTCATTCCAAAATAAAAATCTGAAATAAACCATTTTACTTGATTCTGCTAACAGTTCTTCTATGGACATACATAGTCCCATCTTCTTTGACTTTGGTAACATCAGGAAGTAATGGTATTATTTCCCATTTACTTAATTTATTACATCAAGAATCTTGTTTCTTGCTAGGTATAGTGCTATATGCCTGTAGTCCCAGCAGTTGGGAGACTCAGGCAGAAGGATTGTGAGTTTAAGGCCAGGCTGGGCTACTTAGTGAAACCCTGTCTCCAAAAAAAAAAAGAGAGAAAGAATATTTCTTTTGACGCTTGAATCTCAGGATGACTTCCTTTGATCCCTTTTAGCTCTGTTTGTTCTGAAATGTCTCAGAGAATGGCTAAAGAGAAGTAAAAGAAACATGGGGACTTTTATTGCTTGTTAGTTGATAAAATGACTTAGAGGGTATGAGGAAACAACTGTACCCAATGAAGATATTTAGATATAACTCAGAGGTAGTGTGACTCTTTATAGCCTGTCAGTATATAACTTCATAATTACTCACTTTTTTATGAGAAAGAGCTCCCATTAGGATGAAGTTAAAGCTCTGAGTGACATGTGGTTTAATAAATGGCTCTAGAAGCCAAGGAATCCCTAGCATACATTAGATTTCTCAGAACACCTTTCTTCTGGCCAACACTGGATATGTAGAATGCTTGGAATCCTTTTAAAAACAAGATGAGAGTAATCCTTCCTGTATTTATCCCCAACAATTCCTGACTGCTCAGAGAACAGACCTGGAAAGATAGCTTATTGCAACTATGTGGGAGAAGGAACAGGTTTCTAAAGCTGTTCTCACATCTGACTTGCTTTTAAAACCCCTTCTTTCCTAGAAGGCTGAGGGAAAGCCTGAGTGATGAGAGACGCTGAAGGAAATGGCAGAGAGATTAAAACAAGAATGCCGAAGTTTAAGAAGCCAAGCTGAAAAAGTGCAACTGGAAGTTGAAAAGTAGAGTTTGCTCTTTTTATGTGCAAACTGTGGTGGTTTTTTTTTTTGGTTACCTAATGTGTAAATGTAATTGTTTTAGTGATGATTCTAAAAATGAACGTGCTTGTGTTTGTTACAAAACCCTTTGATAATATGCAGTACTTAGGTAATGCACTTTCTATTTCCATAAAATGAGCTTTATGGACTCTTGAATTGCTTTTTTTTAGAATTTAGACATGTAGGAAAGAAGGCCTTTTAAAATTCTATCTGAGCACAGTATTCTGAAAACTCTCAAAGTAAAACTCTTCATTAAGCAAGCCAAAACATTTGTTCAGAAATCCTTTTTTCTGAATACCAGAGAACAGAATGATTTTAGTGTGGGGCTGCTTTTTGGGGTGTGTGTTGTGTGTGTGTTTGTGTAACTTCTTAGAATTAGAACTAGCCTTTGAGATTTTTCCTTTGAAAAGGTAATTTATTTGTTTATATTCTTTTGGTCTGGAAATTTGTTAGTGATAGACAACAACAATATAGTAAGCTGGTAGGGAAACATTTGTATTTTGGTTACATTCACAATCTTATGTTCTTTGAGAAATTTTGTTTAGATACAGTAGAATGGGAATGACAGTGCAGTTCAGTGATAACACAGCATGCATGAGGCCCTGAAATTGCTCCACATAGATAAATAAGTAAATAAATTAATATGGTAGAACATATTGCTATTTTGTATTTGCTTTGTCTTTATAGCATGTTGTTAAAAGTTTTATTTCTACCTATGTTTTTCTTCCCAGGTTTGTTCCTAAATCGGTCATAAAACTTTTTTCCTTCAGTTTTTTCTGTTAATTTCTTATTTTAAGGCTTGTCCATGGTTTCATATATTTGTTGGGTTGAATTTCATGAAAAGGCAGTAAGAAAGGTGTATATTTATGTGTTGTGACATTTCAGAGGGTTTATGGGTTTTTTTTCCAAAATAATAGAAATTTGTAGTTTGTAATCCTCAAGTATTTGATTAAAATGACACCATACATAACAAATTTACCTAATTGTTAGTTTATGAATATTATTCATAGGGTTAAATAGAAGAAAAAAACTGGGCTAGAAGTAAACAATATAACATATACTTTAACATATACTTTAAATTTGTATGACCTTACACAAATAACCTTACTTATCAGGGTTTGTTATTTTCACTTGTACTGCTCATAGCAAGGATATTAAAAATCACATAAAGTATAGCTTTAATATTAAATTATAATGTCACCTTAAAAATTGAATTTATAAATTTTACTTTTGCCAGAAAATATACTGCATTAAGACTTGATACCTGACTTGATTCTTTTAGCCACCTTTATTAGGCCCAATTTTCAGAACTTGATGGTTATCATAGTTTAGACATACTTATCAAGTGTTTGTCCTGCCGTTAACTGACCGTGAGTCCTAATCCACTTAGCTAAGTGTTCTAAGCCTCAGTTTCCTCATTCATAAAAAAAAGAAGTGACAGTAGTACCTAATTCAGAGGGCTTTTGTGAGAACAGTACACATACTGTTCTGAGTTCAGCATCTGATTCACAAAAGATCCTCTGCACTAGTAGTGATAGCAGATATGTGGCCGTATGAGAGTGTCTACAGTTGGAAAAGTAAGGATATGTGAACTTGTGATCGTATCTGTTTGATCCCAAGAATTTACATTAGCTTCCACATTTTGCATATATTCTTCTGACAGGACATTGGAAGAAAAACAGATACAGTGGTTGGAAGAAAAGCATAAGCTTCATGAGCGTATCACAGACAGAGAAGAAAAGTATAATCAAGCTAAAGAGAAGCTACAGCGAGCTGCAGTTGCTCAGAAAAAGGCAAGTGGTTCTTAGTAAACTGATTTCTGCAGGGTAAAACAATTATTTTAGGAGAATAAAATGCATAATTGAATCTGAAATTTTGGTGATATGTTTAATTTGATATTTGAACATTACATTTACTGTCAACCTTGCAAGATAAATTTGGAAAATCTAAACAACTATATGTGTAAATTTTGTTTAGGGCTGATAGCATTTTTCAGAGTGATAAAGTTTCCAGACCAACCTATACAGGTCTTATTTAACTCATTCTTCACTTGAGTTATAGTGTGATTAGGCCTGTTTCAACTATACCTACCATCTATAAGGTTACATTTATGGTTAAAAGGCTTTTTTGTTTCCAACTCAGATATACAGGAGCAAGTAAGTATCTCCTTGACCCAACAGTAGGGTCTGGGACTCTTCGTGGCTTCTGAAACAACCAAGCCAGTTTCTGCCTTGATTGTATTTTAAAGTTTTACTTCTATAGATATACCTCTGGAACCTAAGTGCTTTGGTTTCTTGAAAATAATCCAAGGCATCATGGAAATTATGTAGTCAGATGATTCATTTTAGTGGTTTGCAACTTTTTTTCTAATTTAACAAATCCAAGGAATATAGTAGGGCCCATCAGTGACAATGACTCACTGTGGCAGTGATTTAGCAGTTCTATTCAGCAGAATTGGAGGGTAGTGTGTGTGTATTTGATATGTGTCTCCATTTGATAAGTTCTCTTCATAGTGGCATTGGCTGTGAGGAGCAGAGAAGAGCTGAGATGAGAGAAGCATGCACCTAGAAACAGGCACCAGTGTCTTAATAGCTGTATGTTTATTGGAAAGGTGACTTGTTCACATTTGTGTAAGAGAAAATAACTTTTAAATTATTCACATGTTCTGAATTTGTAAGCCTGGGATGCTGTTCCTAGCCATTATTTTATGTTATTGGATATAACTGCTGAATGTGATTTACATGGAGTGACATGAGTTGTCTAAAAATTAGAACTTCCTGGCTTCTGAATATTTTCTTTTCAGAATGCTAAAAATAATATAATAATTGAGATTAGAAAATAACATTTATTATATGGGAAGGGAATATTATATGGGAATACCCTAATATAAGCACTCGTTTAGTTCCCCACCCCCTTGTGTATGCTACTTTTCTTCCTTTCTATCCTTTCACTGAAAAGTATATAGGTATTGATGGGATTTCAGTGAATTTTTTTATGGCTTGTGATGATCTCAGAAATTGTACTTATGCTTCCTCGAACTGTGTTTGAAGCCTAGAAGCATGTGAAACTAGATTTCAGGTAGGAAGTATAAGAGCTTATTTTTTTTTTTCACAAGTGAACTTTTATGTTGAGATTTTAGGGTTAAATTCTTAGAGATCAGATACTAATTGTTGAAGTTAGTTTGGGTTGACTTCTTTTTGAGCAAAAGTGACATCCAGTGGTGAGAGAGATTATCATCTAATCATAGATATATCAGAAAGAGGGAAGACAATGATATTTTGAAAACCTGTAAAGTAACATTTCATCAGTATTGTGACCTAGGATGGATTTTTTTCCCTACTAAAATACCTACCAAATGATGGATGATAACATAGTAAGTAGTCATCTCACTTTAATATGTAGTCTGTGGATTATGATTTGAGTCATAGGGAATGGCTAAGTTCAAGTCAGTGAATAGTAGCAAGCTAGAGCTATTATTGCACCATATGGGACATTGCCTTAGGAGCTTGCAATTTTATATCAATTAAAGTAGAAAAACACTGTAGGTGACATACAGATACTACTAAAAAGTATTTAAGTATATGTAATTTTAGGACTGAAAGGAACCTGGCATTCAAATAGCTTTTACAAATTAGGAAACTGAAGTTGTAGGTACCCAAAGATCACTCGATTACTAAGAATCAAAACTTTGACTAAAATCCTACTCTTACTCCAGTGCTCTTTCCACTGCATTGTCACTCATTTCCATTTTATTTGATTCCAGGTATTTTGTCGCTTCTCTGTTTAGAGTCATGGTCCATATAATCCTTATCAGAATAACTAGTGTAAATAAATTTAATGCATTCTTTCCCTCACTTGAGTTAAAAGCATTACTTTTGTATAACATTTTGGGCTGTAAGATTACATAAATATAGTCTGTAAGAGTGCAACAGACTTCTTAGGTTCTTTATTTAAATGATAGATACCACAACTTTCTTATGCAGTAAGATTTAAAACAAATCACAAAATAGAAACTCTAGAGCAGAAATGATAATCCTTTAGAATTTCTTTGCTGTGAATAGTTCTTATTACTCACAAAAATAGCAAGCAACTTTAGTTTTTTCCTCAGACTAGATAAGATGGCTCATTGCCATCTATCTGAATATGTTTATTTAGAACTCTAAGCTTCTAAGCACAAGGCGTATGTTATTTCTGATAAGTGTTTTTAGATAGGGTCTTTGGTGTAAATGATATTTTGATGTGTTGATTTGTTTAGAAAAGCTTGACCAGGGATCTTGAGTTGGGATACCCTTCTATGATTGATGCCTTCTCTACTTATCCTGCACTCTCCTTCCTCATTGTTGAAGTGTGAGTATGAAGAGAGATCTCTTGGAGTGAGCACAATGAATTGTTTGCTCTTTTGAGGTACTTGAAATGACAACTTGTTATTTTTGTTCTAGTATTTATCTCTGTGAAATAATTCTTGCTTAGATACTGTTGTAGCAATAGGCTACATATACTGGGGGGGGGTAAGGAAGAATAGAAGTCATCATTACACCCTGTGCTAGATGACTATATAATGTAGTTAAATGAGATAAGATGTAAGAAATATCTGAATAATACTCACGGGTGATTTATACAGACTCTATAAAGTTCAAGAACCACTGTACCTGTCTCAAAAAAAAAAAAAAATTGAAGACAGAGATGCCAGATATGGAACAGTTAACAGTAAACTTTAAGTAAGATAAGATCTTGGAGCCTAGGAATGAAAGTGAAGGGTAACTCCCAAAGGTATTCTGAAGGGGAGAAAAGAATTACAGAATGTAGCCATGTGCAGTCCCAGCTGTTCCGGAGGATTGCTTGTGCCCAGGAACTTGTGACAAGCTTGGCACCATAGCAAGACCATGTCACAAAACAAATAAATATGCAAGCAAGCAAAGAAAAAAAGAACATAGTGGTAAATAAGAAAGAAAAATATAAAGTATTTTAGCTACAAGAAGATATAAGAGGAATTATTATAATGGAATGAAGAATGTGTATCAGTTGAGGAGTAGAAAGAATAGATTTGATCAAACACATGTCAGATATATAATGTGATGGCCATGCTTCCATGTAGACATGACCTAGACTCTTAAGTGCAGCCATTGTGTAGATAACTGGAAATAATAGAATGAAAGATGTGAGGATGAGTAAATCCAAATGGAGAACAACTTGCTTACTGTAATCTCAAAAAGAAACAAACCTAGTAAAAAACCTAACCAAACAGGTGAAAGACCTCTATGATGAAAACTATAAAATACTGAAGAAAGAAACTGAAGAAGGAAAGACTCCCATGTTCATGGATCAGCAGAATTAATACTGTGAAAATGGCACAAAGTCCTTAGTTTTAGTTTAAACCCCAGTGCTGGAAAAAAAAAAATTCAAAGTAACTGTATTCCTGGAAGTGATTGACAGATTCAATACAATCCCTATCAAAATTGCAGACAGTCTTTACAGAAAAAAGAAAAAAACTACCCTAAAATTCATATGAAAGCACAAAATCCCTGAATGAGCAATGTTGGAGATTTCAAATTACACTACAGAGTCATACTAACAAAAACAGCATGGTACTGGCACAAAAACAAACATGTAGGCCAATGAAATAGAGTAGAGGACCCAGAAATAAGCCCATATAGCTATAGCCATTTGAGTCTGCACAGAAGAACCCAAAATATATATTGCAGAAATGGTTTTGAGAAAGCTGGGAATACCCATGTAGAGGAGTGAAACTAGATCCCTGTCTCTCACCCTGTACAAAAATCAATACAAAATGGATCCAAGGCCTTAATGTAAGACCTGAAATTTTGAAACTACTATAGGAAAAGCACTTGAAGATACAGACATAGGCAACAACTTTCTGAATAGGACTCCATTAAGTTAGGAAATAAAAGCAAGAATTGGCAAATGGGTTTGCATCATATTAGGAAAGCTTTTGAATACCAAAGGAAGCAATTGCCAGAGTGAAGAAAAAGCCTGCCTGCAGAATAGGAGACAGTCTTTGTCACCTATTCATCTGACAAGGAATTAATATCCAGACTATGAAAAGCATTCGAAAAACTAAACACCAAAAGAATGAACAATCCAGTTAATAAATGAGGAAATGAAATTCTCCAAAGTGCACATGCCAGTATATACTGATGTTATCAGCATCATGTGGAACTGCATGCTAAGAAGAAAAATAACAGGAATAGGAAGTGAGTACTGTTTGATATAAGTAGTCAGGTAAGGCTTCTCTGATAAGGAAACATTTGAAGAGAGACTTGATGGAAAGAGGATGCCTTGTTACACAGGAGAAGAGTGTTCTACACAGGGAATAGCAAGTACGAGAGTGTTCAGGAATCTGCTTGATATGTTGAAAAAGCACGGGTGGCTAGGATGGAAAAAGGTAGTAAGAAGCCAGATGATGTAGAAATGTTGACTTTTATTCTGAACGAGATAGGAGCATATTGTACATTTTTTAATTGAGAGACTATATAATCTGAATTACATTTTAGAAGAATCTGGTTATTGTGTAGGGGAGCAAAAGGAAACAACTTTTTATTCATTTAAATTCATGATAACTTAGATTAGAGATCTGATAGAGTTCCAGTGGTCACAGTCTGTGTATATACAGATATATTTTTATTGATGTGTATTAAATTATACACAATATGAGCCTTCATCAGGTTATTTCCATACATGCATATAATGTGCTTTGCTCATATTAACCCCCTCTAGTATTGTTATCCCCCTTCTCTGCACTTTTCCCTTCCACTTCTTCACCCTATTAGTACCC